TCAAAGAGAATTTCATGTCAAAAGCCTATTCTCTATACACTCATGAAACCAGGAGGTGTTCATGGATGAAACGAACACAACCGTAAGAATCATAAACAGTAAAGGGTTAATTGTGTGACATATGGTTGTTTAGGTATACACCAAAGTTCGACGGTTCAAAGATATCACATCTACCGATTGACTGAGTATATCCGACATATGTTCACTACGGAAAGTCCAAGGGGAAACCTACTTATCCAGATGCAATTAATCCTTGCTTGTAAAGTACACAATTGTCCTTTCATTCCTATGTTATAACTATTCCCCATCAATGTGGGGGATTGTTGGGTATGTAGCAAGAATTGATGGGAAATAGAGGGAAGGAGAGGAATTTGAAAAGTTTAGAACTTGAAAGGTTGGGAACTTGAAAAGTCCTCTAATGCTCTATTGAAAAAGGCAATAGTCCCTCATCGGTAATGGAAATGAAAATAGGAGAGTTTAAATAAATAAAAACTCCTATTAGTTGTTAAAAGGGTTGGAAAGAGGGACCCCCCTCGCGCCGTCGTCGTCGTCGCTCGCTTCGGCTTCGGCTCGGCTTTGGCTTTGGCAAATGATCGATCGAGAGATAATTTTTTGGACAAAATTTATTTTAATTTTTTATTAGTTAATTTAAATGGCCAAAAATTATTTTTCAATAAATTAGTTGATAACAGAATTTAACCAAAAATAACTTTTTATTTAACTCGACCCGACTCGGATCCGCGCGAGTGACCCGTTTTAAATTCTGTTATATTCAAAATTTCCCGCCATGACTGTTCTGAAAGGTTGCAACTTTCAGGAACAGTCAATACCATTTGAAAGTTGCACTTTCATTAATGGTCGTGTCAATTCTGAAAGGGTAGCAACCTTTCAGAATATATTATTCTTGCCTATAAATACCATTCAGTATTCAGAATATTTAAAAAACGAATTTTCTGATCTTCCTTCTTCTTAAAACCAAATATATTTCTTCGTGTACTTTCCTGCTGTGGATTGATTCGCTGACAGTAGAGTTTTTGGTATCTATACTCTACTGATTAAGATCATTTTACCCTGGGAGGTTATATTCCAATCAAACCTCGGATACTAGAGGGGAATAATTTCCTTAAGGGGACACTGTGAATTCAGTGGACTTGATTTTCTTCCTGAATTTTTCAAAAGAGTATTCCAGATTCTGGTAAGCTTTACAGATTAAATTATTTTTTACAAATAAATTTCTGTTCATCTTATTTACTGGTTCTAAAAATCTCAGTTGCTTCGTGTTTCTGATTGATTTATTTCAACCAGTAATTTTTGTTTTTCTTAACACAGATTGGCAACAATAGGGTGTCCTCGTAGAATGGTCCCAGACTTAGAAATTTGTGAAGTTTAACTTGAGTTCCATGGATAGGTCTACAAACCGTACAATGGACGGCGGATTGTAGGAAGTTCTCATCGGAAGTTATTGAATTTTGAGTTTCTGAAATTGGTTCTATGATTGATCAAGACGGGTCGTAGAAATTCCTACAAGCCATAGGTCACATCCGTAGGAACCATGCAACAATTATTTTTTAGAATATTTTGATCTTTTTCTATGCATCTAATACCTGTATTATGTCGTTTTGCCCCTATTTAAGACTTATAAATATCCGTATACCCCTCAAACTTCCCCAATTATCTCATTCACTCAAACCCCCAAGTCTCATACACATTCAATCCCTCCAAGTCTCATCCACATTCAACCCCAACAACTCTCTATCAAGGTCAAGAAGAAGAATCTAGTCTATCCAAGTTAAGTCTCCTTTTCACCATTGATTTTGGGATTTGAATAGAAAGTTATGTAGAGTTTCATCAATGGCTTCCATCAGCCATTGAGCCCCAAGGTTTCTCAAATATATAAGTTTAAATTGATAAAAAATTGATTAGGTTTTCATTCAATTCTTCATGGTTCTAATTGTGTTGATTAAATAATTTGACTTTAACCTTATTGTGATTGTTTTGACTCAATTACATACTTTTCAGTTGTTTTCACCATGCATTGATTATGTTGAGTATGTACCCTAATAGACATGAATTTGTGGAGAAACTATGAATATATGAATGATTTTTTCATGAAGTTATGCATGATTTGTGAAAAAGAAATGTTTAACGATCTAGGTTTCTATGATGTGGTGAGTTATGAAGGGTGATTAGTGCGTCATGCGGAAACTTATAATTAGCAAATCATATGATTGATTAATCAGATAACAAAAACTTATACTGAAAATCAAAATATTATTATATCAAAACTAATATAAAGAACGGAAAAGGGCCTAAAATACCCTCGAAGTATTGAAAATGGTACACAATTACCCTCCATCCACCTATTGGCCCCCAAATACCCTTCACATCCACCTTTGGGTCCAAATTTACCCCTTCATTAACAGACCAAAATTAAAAAATAATTAAATAATAATTTTTAATGACGTGACACTCAACCATTGGTTGTAATTTAATTATTTAAAATAATTTTAAACCCATCCATTTTAACTAAACCCACCCATTACCCACCCATTGAATCTCATATTAGGAAGGTTGTAGAAGAAGAAGGAGGCGGAGGATATTCTGTTTGTCGCTGTATTGGGAAGATCTGTATGGTCGATGTGATTTTCTTCCTCTGTACGGAAGAGAATTTGGCTGATCCTTCTAAGGCTCTTCAAACTCCTGTGGAACAGATTTTGCCTAAAGGGAATTCCATTGTCAGACATTTAGATCCAAATTCTAAGTTATTATGAAGATTTTTTTATAGAATTAGAAATTATATTGGTGTTGTTCCTTTTGCAATCACATGTTCTTCAAAGGTTAACGACTTGATTTCTATTTTGCTTCTGTTTTAATTTTTTTTTTTGAACCATTAGTTTTTAGAATGAATTGGTATTTTGAGATACTGTGTAGGAATACTGCTAAAGGATTTGCTGAAAAGAAAAAAAAAACTTTTAGCTTTATATGAGATTCAATGGGTGGGTTTAGTTAAAATTAGTGGGTTTAAAATTATTTTAAATAATTAAATTACAACCAATGGTTGAGTGCCACGTCATTAAAAATTATTATTTAATTATTTTTAATATTTGTCTGTTAATGAAAGGGTAAATTTGGATCCAAAGGTGGATGTGAAGGGTATTTGGGGGCCAATAGGTGGATGGAGGGTAATTGTGTACCATTTTCAATACTTTGAGGGTATTTTAGGCCCTTTTCCGTATAAAGAAAACCATTGAAACTGTAGAGAGAATAAATCTCCCCATAAACAAAAATCTTAAACGACTACATTGTAGATGTTATTGTTATGTTAGAAGAAACAAATCTATATTTATAGAGTCCTAAAACCTTTTCCTATTAGAAAAGGACTAGTTACTCCAAAACCTTTTTCCAAAAAGGAAAGAATAAACCAAGTATGAAAAAGTATTATATTTTCCTTTCAAGAAAAGTAAAAACATTTATGGTAATGTTTTGACTTTTCTTCAAGGAAAAAAAATCTTAAATTATGATAAGAAAATCAGGACAAAACCTTAAACACGATGAGCATCTATGAAAATGTGAAAGGATCTTCTCACATATTAAGAATCATAGTTTGGTAAATTGTTACCTCACATATGTCTTATTCAAGATTTAATGAGCTACTTTATGATATTTTCAGTTTGAATTAGTAACTTAATTGTACTTTTCCATGTATGATGATATGCTTATGTTTGTGACTATTTTATTGGAATTTAACTTAGCACCGAGAGAACTTTGAGACTCGAACAGGATAGTCTCTAGTAGCAAACCCTAGTTTCAAACTACGTGCCCCAATACATTTCCCTTAAATGACGATATATGTGTTATGACACTACGCTTTACCTTTACAAGTAGACTCTCCTTTCACGTTATTGAAGTTATGTAAAATTTCATCTTAAAGCTTGCATGATATATTATTGGTTAAAGCTAATATCTCACAAAATGAACTAAGTTGTCCTTAACGATTTTATGAAGCTTTCTTGTGATTTTAAGATGTATTGATGATGTTCATATATATTTTATGATGTTTCTTTAAAGATTTTATTATGCTTAGATTGGTCATGCATTTCATGTTGTTTTTTCTTACATCCCTTTATGATCATATTTCACATTTTTATTCATATCCCTCATACATAGTATTTTTCATGCACTAATGCATACTTGTACTTACATTATTTAATAATATAGGGTGTGCCGCTTCCTCTCCTCTCGCTCGTGGCTAGTTGATGACTTCAAGGATCTGAAGACTTGGTGAGTCTTCATAATCTAAGGACTATGTCACCATTATTGATTTTATGTGTCTTTATTTATGGAAATTGTATGTGGTGTACAGGTTACGTCCCGATCACTTTTTTTGATGTAATAGAAGGCTTGTCAAGACTATTATGATAGATTTCCGCTTTAATGTCAAACTCTTCTACGTATGAGATTCTTTACTTCGTCTAATATATTGTGTATTTGTATTTTAAGTGGCTTGTCCAGGGACTTTTGGGATCCTATATGTCATGTCACATCTAGGGTGTTCTTTGAATCGAGGCATAAAGGTAGTAAAGCAAGTGGACATATACAATAATATATGATCGATTAACTCAACAATTCAACAACCAATATAAGCCAAATGAATAACTTCATTTTCGACATATCACTTGGCAAAAATGAGTCATTCACAACTAGTAATGAAGTATTCCTTGAAAAGTATCACACAATGACTGAACATGCAAATCACCAAGTGGATAATCTAAAGTTAATATCTTAAAATGTCACTGAATTATGAAAAATTACCTTGTAAAGTCACTAAACTTTGTTTTGTATCACTAGAATCACTCAACCTAACGTTTTTATCTTCTAAAAACATTAAACAATATTTATCACCAAAATAAATCTGGCATGGCAAAATAAATATATTTTATGCCATGTTATCATGGCCCCATAAATAAATAAAATCATAAAATATATTTATTAATATATCCACTACTCACAGTTATCTTCTTCTAAAACACTTAAACCCTAATTCTCTTGCCAAATCTCCCGCTTCCTTTTTCTACTTCTTTCTCTATTCTCCCAAAATTCTCACCTCACAAAGAAACGCTGTAATGTCTATTTTAAGGTTATTGATGCTGAATTTTTTCATTAACAATTAATTCCTTCATTTCTTCGAGAAATAATGGGCTGAAATCTGTAAAAAAAAAAACGAAAAGGACCACTACGCGCTTGCTAAAGCAATCCTAATTCAATTGAGGTAAAAATTATAAATGTTTAGCTATATTGTCCTTTTATTGTAGAATATCTAAAAATTGGTTTAGGACTTTTTGTATTCTAATTATTTTCCCCCCTGTATTCAGAGGAGAGGAGACAGAAAGACTGACTCTTTAAGAGAAAAGTCATGAAGGAGTACATTGTTGAAGTTTAGTTGAAGAAAATATTAGAAATCATAGCAAAATATAGAATTATCTTTGTAATTTTTTGTGGTTACCTATTACAACACAATATATTCTTTTCTTTTTGGCTACAATGATGCTCATAACAACCTAGTATATAATACATTTTTAGAAATGCTCTAATATTATTTGTGTGTTGCTTATTTATATTGGAATTGATGTACATGGTTGACACGGGAGATAATTTAGTCAGTGCTATTGAATTTAACATTTATTTCCAGTGTTGATTAGAATTTTTTGATTGTCGGTAATAGTCTAGAAAAATAAATTTTATTGCAAAAACAGAATTTAAGAGGGGAAGACATGAAATTAATAAATTTTATGATTTTGTTTATTTGTAGGTTCATGATTACAATACATTAAAATAAATAAATTTTATAATTTTATTTATTTGTGAGGTCCACAATGACATGACATCAAAAATAATTTAATTTATCATGTCAAATTTGTTTAAAAATAAATTGTAATCGAGTGATTTTAAAGAATAAAGATGTTAAGTTGAGTGATTTTAAAGACACAAACTAAAATTTAGTGACTTTACAAGATAATTTCATATAGTTCATTGACCTTTTAAGATATTAACTCAAAAAATCAATAAGTAGTCACACACAAAAGGTGATTGCAAAGTAAATTTCAATTTTTAGCATAAGCTTAGTGGGGAATACCAATGACGAATCTAAAAGTATCAATACAAAAAATAGAAGCTGAAATGGATAAAGTGTCGGTGTCACCATCGATGTCATGAGTCCGATGATGAGAGAAGGAATGTGGCTGAATTTATTGATATCGTGTCAAACATTATGCAATGTACTGAAATACCAAACAAAATGAAATCAAACAAATTTGAGAATTTTATATGGGAAAAAGACTATAACCACTAATAATTTCTTAAGCAAAACGTAATCCTAACAATGGTGATCTATAGTAATCTAAAAGAGAGATAATAAATATGGATCAAAAGAGAGAGGGGGGTGGGAAGAGAATTTAGAAAGAGAATATTCGTGAGCCTTTGGATAATGTGAAAATGAACCATATGAATCAGAATTAATTTTTAATATTAATTAGTTATGTGTAATAATTGATTACAAAAATGTCCAATTAAAATGAACACATGCTCATACTAATCAGTTCTTAATACTCACTCTGTTTAAATCTCCTTTTTTTTTTTGTTTGTTTAAAAAGAATGATCTCTTTTTTTTTTTGTAATAATTTTCCAAGTGGCATGTTTAATGACACAAAATCAAAGGACAATTTTGTATATTTAACCTAACTTTAATTTAGGACCATAAGATTCAAATTTTTTTTTATACTCTTAAACTTTATGTCAAGTCAAACCAGATCATTCTTTGTAAAACTGAATTATTACTTCTTTTTTATTGTTCACATGCTTGCAAGAATCGGATTTGAAACGACACTTTTCAGACGCACAGTCTGAATTTAAACTGTTTTTATCGTGATAGAAACTCATGATTAATTATAGTAATTCGAGAAGAGCGCCAGAGCAGCAAATTCCATAGCCGCGACAGTTGTTCCTCCATCAAAGGCTCTGAGCCTGCTACGTAGCTAGGCTATGAAATTGATTTTCTGATAATAAAAAGAGAGAGAATAGAAGATCATGCTTACAAGCAGCCGTTTCCATCGTCTTTTGCTAACCCTGATTTTATCAAACCCGTTTCTTCAATCCTGATGAGAACTTTTTCTTGCCTCAAAGAGAATGAACATATTCTTTATGTAATCTCAAAATCAAAGAGTATGAGTACATTTAAAATAATTTAAGACAATATATAATTAAGATGTGTGCTGAAATTTGTAGTATAGTTAAAAAATAAAAGGAATACTTGTGCTTCTTTCTTAAAAAATAAAAATAAATAAAAGATGTTTCAATTAGAAAGGAAGCGTAAACTATAAAAACGAAAGGGAAGGGCAGATCCACTTCTACAATTTCATTCACTGAACACAACAATGGTTCCTTTTATCTCCATTTCGATCTTCACCTTCGGCTTCCTCCTTCTCTTCCGATGTTCCTCGTCGTCGGCGGAGCAGCAACAGTTCGCCATTGATGGGAAAGTATTGGAACTCGATGAATCCAATTTCGAAGCGGCTATTTCCACTTTCGATTATATGTTTGTCGATTTCTATGCTCCTTGGTGTGGTCACTGCAAACGTCTTTCTCCTGAGGTCTTTCTTCCTATCGTTTTCTTTTCTATTTGCTTGATTTGCTTTCTTTTTCTTTTTTTCTTTTTTTTTTTCAAAAAAGGTTTGGATTTGTTTATACTTCAGTGCTGTATTGTTAGAGTGAAATTAAGGATGATTTACATTGAATTACATAGTTAATAACAGAGATAGTTTGGATTTGTTTATACTTCAGTGCTGTATTGTTAGAGTGAAATTAAAGATGATTTACATTGAATTACATAGTTAATAACAGAGATATACTCATTGCTGTAGTTTTCAGGAAGTAATCTTCCACCAAAATCTAAAGATATTAGAATCAGAAAATATTAATGTGCTTTAGTTTTAGTGAAGCTTCTAATTGTATAAACATTATTTTCAAATAGTAGAAGAAAATTGGTGACATTGTCCCTCAGACAGTGGCTGTGATGGAACAATACTATAGGATATAAGTAATATTATCGTAAGGTTTTGCTTCAAAGTTTTAATTATTAATTAACTATATATGGAAGTTTGATGCCTACTGATGTAAAATGATGGTTTGGTACATGAATCTACTCTGCCTCAGATGCTAGTGTATATATGTTTGCACTCTCTTATGGTACCTAATAAGGTGTTGATAGTGTTATGTTTGACTCTTGTGAAATTCTTATAAAAAGAAATAGGCACTTGAGAAATAGATTTTTATGATCTAACCTGATTTGAAACTGTAGAGGGATGGAGGGCTGACTTATTATGGTCACGTAATTAAACTCATGTGAAAAAGGAAGCTCTCCTTTATGCTACGAAAGAAAATAGAATGATTTCATTTACAGTGAAAGAAGATTTTGGATGTCACCCATTTAACTTAATATATGTTCACATTCATGATACATGAACTTCCAGAAAAAAGCTTTTTTTCATGAACAACAAAGTTCAAGAGGCTGAGGAAACATTGCTGGAGGCTGATCTTAGCTGTTGGATTAACCCTTTTATGGTCACTAGTGAGGAATTACTCATTTTGTAACTTCTTGTGACTTTTTTTTTCTGTTGTGGTACTGGTCAAATGCTTAAAAGAATTTGTAAGGTTCATATGCAAAGTCAAATATCCAATCAGGAGAGGAAAAAAGGGGTCAGCGATGACGATACCTTGGAAAGCATGTCATTCCTCCAGTACATAAAGTGGAGAAGAAAGATAGGAGCAATAGAGGATTATTGAGAACAAAAAAGGATATTTTATTAAATGTAAAAGGCTTAAAGTAATCTTGCAAAGGAAGTTCATTGATATCAGACAGGATCATGATATGTCATGTGAGAACTAAGAAGTGATTGTTACCACATGTTAATAGACTGATAGGCATACTTGTTTGTCGTTCTAGTCTTATCAACTGTTCCCTGTCTTCTAAGAGAAACTTTCTCCCCTTAATAGGAGTGCCTGTATTTTGGGTGGTCAAGTGTGTTGCTTGTGATCACTGAAACTTCTTGAGGGATGAGATTGAATTGTTTCTTTCTAAAGTTTGATGATATTGATATGTTCATCAATAAAAGGTATTATCAAGCTCTTTACGTGAGTTCACTAAGCTTCATATTCTGCATTCTATGTTAGAATTTTTCCCCAACAAAGGGACATTTTTCATTTGCTTGTTTTATTGGATAATAGATATTTTTGAATGTGACATCACGAAGCACTCTGACAAAAGTTCCTTGCAGTTGGACAAAGCATCTGCCAATCTTGCTGTATTGAAGCAGCCCATTGTAATTGCAAAAGTAGATGCTGACAAATACAGTCGTCTTGCTTCTAAATATGAAATTGAGTATGTCTGCTTTACACATATTAGTTATTACTACAATTATTTTGTTTAACCGTTTTCATAATGTGAAACTTGCTTTCTGGTTAAATCAAGTTGCTTGAACCATAAAAGAGAATAAGTTTCTTTAGTTTGGTATAACATTTTTATTAGCATTATTAGATCCACAGTTTGTTATCTTAATCAATTTGTTAGTCTGCTATAGATTGTCAAAGACTGTAGATGCAGATCCTATAAAAAACTTCCTATTCCTAATCCAGTATTTCTTTTTTTCTTTTTTCTTGAGAAAGGTAACTGTATTAAAAAGAAAGAAGCACTGAGAAGGTGCTGTTCAGAAGTATTTACAGAAAATTCTAAGATGATTTTTATTCTTAGAGGATTCTATAAGATTTATCATTGCTTCAGCTTCATTAAAAAAGGTCTATTTACACTAAAAAGTAAATGTTTCATCTTTATCCCCTGACTAGAATTTTCCTCGTCTTCAAAGCATCTGTCATTTCTTCCTCTCCAAATATTCCACCATATACATGTAGGTTAGTATACCACCATTTCTTCTGCTTTGTATATCTTCCTTTAATGTTCCAGCACTTTAAAGTTCACATGTATCTCTGCGCATAGTCCGTTTTAAGCCCCATCACGTTAAGGAACAACTGCTACAATTGATCAGTAGCATGACAATGCAATAATAGATTATTGACATTCTCAGATTCTTTTTTTTTGTTACATATATAACAGTTTAAGCACAACATGATTCCTCTGTAGATTTCCATGTGTTAAGCAAGCTATTCTAGCCACCAACCAGGTGACCCATGCCACTTCATAAGTGACATTTGTTTTCCAGATTTTTCCTCTAGGCCAACATCCTCCTTGCTCTCCAACAGAATTCAGAAGCCTATAACAAGATTTTACTGTAAAGGCACCATTTCCATGAGCTTTCCGGATTAGCTTATCTTGTCCTTGAGTCCCTTTGAAAGGTTAGAGTATTTAAAGAAATCAGACATTATGCTCAATTCCCAATCATTTAAATGTCCCTGAAGTTGAAATTTCATCCTTCCCCTCAGAATAGCCAAACTAGCATCAGGTAGAACAGTACGTCTGAATAGATCAGGGAATAATGTCTTTAAGGGAGATACCTAATTCAGTTAATATCCCAAAATCGAAATCCTTTTTCCATCACTCACTACAAACCCAATATTACCTACAATGTTTTGCCAAAGAGC